ATAGCCTAAAACACAAGGCCAAATATACACTGGAGTTGTTTACCAAGATGACATTGAATGTTCTTGAATGGCCTAGTTACAGTTTTTACTTAAATCGTCTCGAACATCTATGGCAAGATTTGAAAATGTATGTCTAGCAATGATCAACAAACAACTTGACAGAGCTTGAAGAATTGTTTTAATAATAATGTGCAAATATTGTACAATCCAGGTGTGCAAGGCTCTTAGAAACTTACCCAGAAAGACTCACAGCTGTAATCACTGCCAAAGGTGATTCTAACATGTATTGACTCAGGGGTGTGAATACTTACAGTACCAGTCCAAAGTTTGGACACACCTACTCATTCAAGGGTTTTTCTTTATTTTTACTATTTTCTACATTGTAGAATAATAGTGAAGATATCAAACTATGAAATAACAAATATGGAATCATGTAGTAACCAAAAAGGTGTTAAATAAATCAAAATATATTTTATATTTGAGAGTCTTCAAAGTAGCCACCCTTTATGACAGCTTTGCACACTCTTGGCATTCTCTCAACCAGCTTCATGAGGAATGCTTTTCCAACAGTCTTGAAGGAGTTCCCACATATGCTGAGCACTTGTTAGCTGCTTTTCCTTCACTCTGTGGTCCAACTCATCCCAAACCATCTCAATTGGGTTGAGGTCGGGTGATTGTGGAAGCCAGGTCATCTGATGCAGCACTCCATCACTCTCCTTGGTCAAATAGGCCTTACACAGCCTGGAGGTGTGTTTTGGGTCATTGTCCTGTTGAAAAAAAATTATTGTCCCACTAAGTGCAAACCAGATGGGATGGCGTATCGCTGCAGAATGCTGTGGTAGCCATGCTGGGTAAGTGTGCCTTGAATTCTAAATAAATCACAGACAGTGTCACCAGCAAAGGAACTCCATACCATCACACCTCCTCCTCCATGCTTCACGGTGGGAACCACACATGCGGCGATCATCCGTTCACCTACTCTGCGTCTCACAAAGACATGGCGGTTGGAACCAAAAATCTCAAATTTGGACTCATCAGACCAAAGGACAGATTTCCACCGGTCTAATGTCCATTGCTCGTGTTTCTTGGCCGAAGCAAGTCTCTTCTTCTTATTGGTGTCCTTTAGTAGTGGTTTCTTTGCAGCAACTCGACCATGAAGGCCTGATTCACGCAGGCTCCTCTGAACAGTTGATGTTGAGATGTGTCTGTTACTTGAACTCTGTGAAGCATTTATTTGGGCTGCAATCTGAGGTGCAGTTAACTCTAATGAACTTATCCTCTGCAGCAGAGGTAACTCTGGGTCTTCCTTTCCTGTGGCGGTCCTCATGAGAGCCAGTTTCATCATTGCGCTTGATGGTTTTTGCGACTGCACTTGAAGAAACGTTCAAAGTTCTTGAAATTTTACGGATTGACTGACCTTCATGTCTTAAAGTAATTATGGACTGTCGTTTCTCTTTGCTTATTTGAGCTGTTCTTGCCATAATATGGACTTGGTCTTTTACCAAATAGGGCTATCTTCTGTATACCATCCCTACCTTGTCACAACACAGCTGATTGTCTCAAACGCATTAAGAAGGAAAGAAATTCCACAAATTAACTTTTAAGAAGGCACACGTGTTAATTGAAATGCATTCCAGGTGACTACCTCATGAAGCTGGTTGAGAGAATGCCAAGAGTGTGCAAAGCTGTCATCAAGGCAAAGGGTGGCTACTTTGAAGAATCTCAAATATAAAATATATTTTGATTTGTCTAATACTTTTTTGGTTACTACATGATTCCATATTTGTTATTTCATAGTTTTGATGTCTTCACTGTTATTCTACAATGTAGAAAATAGTAAAAATAAAGAAAAACCCTCAATACATTTGCAGACATTTTTTCAGTTAGTCATTATGGGATATTGTGTGTAGATGGGTGAGAAAAACATATATTTATTGCATGTTGAATTTAGGGTGTAACACAACAAATGTGGATTAAGTCAAGGGGTATGAATACTTTTTCTAAACAAATAAACAAATATTTTTTTGATAACAATTAGTTTGTATTGCATATATCTGCCGTTTTTGAGCCAGACAGGATGACTGACAGGTTAACTCTTGTTGGCTTGGTTAGCTAGCTGGCTTTTTTATGCATCTGGACACAGTACCAGCTTTTTAGTTTCACCTGGCTGCCAGTTCCTGATCTTTTGAGAACATAATTTGAGAAGTCGCCTGAAGTTGGGAGAGTAATGGAAGACAGAGGAATACAGCAGTGCCGAGGCAGAGTGCTCATAGTGAGGATGACTGGCTACTATTCTGAACTTTGTGGGGTGAGCCTTTTTGGTGCCCAGAGCTGCTGAGGCATCACCCCAGTGGGTGCCACACAAGAGAATTAGAGGATTCCATAACCATCATCTACCATCCTCTGACCAGCTCGCTCTGCTCAAGCCATGTACTGACCCTCTACATCTTCAGAGGATGCAACTTTCAAAGACTTGGCCTCTATTGGTTCACCTGTCATGATATATTGGTTATTTGGTTTTTGCTCTTGAAGCGCTTTGAGATTCTATGAAAAGCACTATAGAAGTTTAATATTGAATTATAATTATAATTATTTGTTTTATTATTATTATTATTATTATTATTATTATTATTATTATTATTATTATTATCACGTACATGACCTGTCAGTCATAAGTCCCAAATAGTTTTTTTTGTCTCACTCCTGCAATCATCCCAGTCATCAGCGACAGAGCATTGGGCTAGATACATGTTTGACAATGTGTACAATTACAATGGTAATAAAATGGCAAATGTTATATACAGTTGAAGTCGGAAGTTTACATACACTTAGGTTGGAGTGATTTTTCCAACAATTGTTTACAGACAGATTATTTCACTTTTAATTCACTGTATCACAATTCCAGTGGGTCAGAAGTTTACATACACTAAGTTGACAGTGCCTTTAAACAGCTTGGAAAATTCCAGAAAATGATGTAATGGCTTTAGAAGCTTCTGATAGGCTAATTGACATCATTTGAGTCAATTGGAGGTGTACCTATTGATGTATTTCAAGGCCTACCATCAAACTCAGTGCCACTTTGCTTGACATCATGCGAAAAAATCTAAAGAAATCAGCAAAGACCTCAGAATTTCTTTTTTTAGACCTCCACAAGTCTGGTTCATCCTTGGGAGCAATTTCCAAACGCCTGAAGGTACCACGTTCATCTGTACAAACAATAGTATGGGACCACGCAGCCGTCATACCGCTCAGGAAGGAGACGCGTTCTGTCTCCTAGAGATGAACGTACTTTGGTGCGAAAAGTGCAAATCAATCTCAGAACAACAGCAAAGGACCTTGTGAAGATGCTGGAGGAAACAGGTACAAAAGTTTCTACAGTAAAACGAGTCCTATATCGACATAAACTGAAAGGCCGCTCAGCAAGGAAGAAGCCACTGCTCCAAAACCGCCATTAAAAAGGCCAGACTACGGTTTTGCAACTGCACATGGGGACAAAGATCGTACTTTTTGGAGAAATGTCCTCTGGTCTGATGAAACAAAAATAGAACTGTTTGGCCATAATGACCATCGTTATGTTTGGAGGAAAAACGGGGCTGCTTGCAAGCCAAAGAACACCATCCAAACCGTGAAGCACGGGGGTGGCAGCATCATGCTGTGGGGGTGGTTTGATGCAGGAGGGACTGGTGCACTTCACAAAATAGATGGCATCATGAGGAAGGAAAATTATGTGGATATATTGAAGCAACATCTCAAGACATCAGTTAGGAAGTTAAAGCTTGGTCGCAAATGGTTCTTCCAAATGGACAATGACCCCAAGCATTCTTCCAAAGTTCTGGCAAAATGGCTTAAGGACAACAATGTCAAGGTATTGGAGTGGCCATGACCTCAGTCCTATAGAACATTTGTGGGCAGAACTGGAAAAGCGTGTGCGATCAAGGAGGCCTACAAAACCTGACTCCGTTACACCAGCTCTGTCAGGAGGAATGGGCCAAAATTCACCCAACTTATTGTGGGAAGCTTGTGGAAGGTTACCCGAAACGTTTGAACCCAAGTTAAACAATTTAAAGGCAATGCTACCAAATACTAATTGAGTGTATGTAAACTTCTGACCCACTGGGAATGTGATGAAAGAAATAAAAGCTGAAATAAATCATTCTCTCTATTATTATTCTGACATTTCACATTCTTAAAATAAAGTGGTGATCCTAACTGATCTAAGACAGGGAATTTTTACTAAGGATTAAATGTCAGGAATTGTGAAAAACAGAGTTTAAATGTATTTGGCTAAGGTGTATGTAAACTTCCAACTTCAGCTGTAACATACCATTTACAAGTAGAAGGGAATGGTTTTCCTTGTGTGGTAGGATTTGTGGGCTTTGACACTCTTATATAGGTGTCAGAACCAGCCAAAATATTGCAATATATGTCACAACACATCTAAATATATGTGTCATGACAGTGTTATGACAATGTTATGACAGGTTATATCATTTATGACATATTATGACATGCCATATGACTGTGCCATAACGTGTTATGACACTAGGTGACAAATAAAGTGTTAACAAAAGCTTTTAACATGTGAAAATGCAAATGTCACGTGTAATTGCAATTCACATGTGAGGTGAAAACATGTTTTTCTTCTCACGTGAAAAGGTGGTGTTAACATAACTCTAAATTGAATAAATGTGGAAAATATTGTTTCATGTGAAATTTAAGCTCAAATTGTCAAAATGTGATTTCCCGTGTGAAAATGCGATTTTCACATGTGAAACTGCAAATTGTATGTGTTTTTTTTGTAAGGGCAACTCCTAACTCTAAACCTAACCCCTAACCCTAAACCTAATTCTAATTCTAAGCCTAAACCTAACCCCTAAACCTAAAATAGACTTATAGAAAAAGGTTATTTGAAGAATCCCTTATAATGGTTCCTCGAAAAACCTTTTGGGGTTCATTTTTTAAACTCCCTGTCCACCCTCCCCCCATTATAAAAATATATTTTAAACTTCTCTTATCCCCAGAACACAGTAACTTAAGAACATAAGTGTTTTTCTGACATTTGGGGGAAATGTAACTGAAAAAAATATATACAGCCCTAGCAGAGCCTCAAGTCCCATGGAGACGTCCTCTAGGGCGTGGATGTTCTCCCTATCAAAGGCCAGCGTGATTTCACTCTCATGGTAAAATGGATTTCCGCTGATGTGCAGTAAAGGAGTGGGGAGCGGTGAAATCTGTGTCAACAAAAGTAAGAAAAGGTTAATACACATACAATTAACAATGGGCATGCACACTTATGTTTATGAAGAAACAGATGATTTGTGCATAGGCATTCCTTGTCATGGACATAAAGGCCACCCGGGTCCTCATTGAAGAGGTAGGGCAAGAGCAGGATCACTGCAGTGGTCTCGAGTCCTAGTAAAGTAAAGCAATGATCTTACTACACTTGCTAATTTTATTACAAAATACATATTTTTAATGTACTATGTATAGGCTACATTAGAGAAAAGGAAGGAATAAGAGCAAATACCCCTGTGTGCCTCTTCTGTATTGTCCTTCAGGGACTGTCGAAATAGCAGGATGATGTCCTCACCCCTGCCTCGCCTCTCTACCTCTGCTTTCATTTTGCCACTAGCCTTGCGGAGTCCTTGAATGATCTTTTTGTCTATATCCATTCCATGGACTTGATTAATTTCTGAGAAGATCTGAAAATATAATTTGCACACATTGTATTTCTGGAGGTTTAACTTAATTCACATAGACTTAAAAAATAGCAAATGTGTGACCGAACTCACAATGCTGCAGTGACGCAGTGCAGGAAACTCATTAAGGCTCTCTTTGGCGTGGTGGTTGGCGAAAAAATGGGCTCTCTCCACCGAGGTCCTCTTCATTTTGTCCTGCAGGAGGCTAAGGTCAGGATGGTTTCTTTTGCATTCCTCCTTCATTCTTTCAATGTTCTTTGTCACACTGAAAGTGTCCTCTACACTCTGTATCAATGCCTAGTAAAGATTAGTACAAAACCAGTCAATTTTGTCGGAATAAGAAAAGTGAGAGTTTGTTTCAAATTCATGATCCAATGAGCATATGTTGACAATTATATGACTGTTTACTTGGTTCAAAAGTGGTGTAGCAGACACGCCCCCATGTAGCTCCACATTAGTCAACTATGACGCAAACACACATGTAAAGCTCTTTATTTTTTAAAGAATGTTCCCACTTCATTGGATAGTCCTATATATTGTATGGTCCATATATATACATTTACGTCATTTAGCAGACGCTCTTATCCAGAGCAACTTACAGTTTTAGTGAGTGCATACATAATTTTTTTATACTGCCCCCCCGTGGGAATCGAACCCAAAACCCTGGCGTTGCAAACGCCATTCCCTCCCCTACCCTGGACCAATTGTGCGCCGCCCCATGGGTCTCCCGGTCGCGGCCGGCTACGACAGAGCCTGGATTCGAACCAGGATCTCTAGTGGCACAGCTAGCACTGCGATGCAATGCCTTAGACCACTGCGCCACTCGGGAGACATATACTCAACTTATACTCACAAACTATTAACTGCAACTTTGTTGACAAGCAAACACTTGCTGGAATGAAGGGTATGTTTAGGGGTAGGGGTAAGGTTAGCCACAAACCTTGTCTTTGATGCTGGGCCTGCATTCCCATCAGAACTCCTTTTCTGTGTGAATTTAGCTCTGATGATTGCAACCTCTGTTTTGCAGACAATAGGTTGTCTTTCTTTTTTGAATTTATTTTCTATCATCCCATGCCATGATTCCTTAGTAAAGGAGAATGGAGATTTAGTTATTAGTAATGACCACACATTACTGTGAAATGTGTAAAAAAATTAAGTAAAAATATCACTCACATATCCTTGTCCTGTACGGTCCCTTAGAAATTGATAGTTGGCCACCAATGACGTACAGACGTCGGTATATTGTCTGCTTGTAGGGTACCTTTGAAAATAGTAAATCAGTATAGTGTTCCATTACAGCATAACACATCCCATGACTACACACACACACACACACACACACACACAAACTCACATGATGTGCCAATTTATAAACTTACCAGGTATATGTGCACATTGTATCAAATAAAACTTGGATGATTTGGCTCCTCCACTTGGACCGATGAGTGGGAGAGTGGAAATCTTCACTCTGTTGGTTGAGTTTACACTGCAGGACTGTGGGGAACTCAGGAAGGGTGAATATTGTGGGCCACAGTTTTGTGTTGGTTGTTGGTTGGGGCTGGTAGCAAATTGTGGTGGGTTCGTCTTGTTGGAGGGAGCTGAGACATAGAAGCATATAAGTTTACATGTTTAGTTCTGTCGTCACAAATACAAAGCAGATTGTAAAATCTATACAGCAAGAAACAAGGTATGAATTATTGTTATGGTATTACCAGTTCAATAGCTTTGTTGTACAAGGAACAATTATATAGAGATCATTATATTGAAAAATATTTGATAATTACCTCACAGTTACATCCTTTTTAAAATTTTCAATTAATTTAGCAAATCGAACTTGAGTTTTCATGACAGGAAACAGCTGTTCGATCATCCTGTCGTTCAAGCCCATGAGTGTCTCACCATCGATGAGGTGGTCTGTTGAGTAAAGTTGAGAAAGTTGTATTAGATATGAGATATTAATAGCAGTAGTTCTTTTACAGGATTATATATTGCATTGGAGTCAAGACTGGAGCCAAGTCTACAGACCAAGACCCATCCTCTTAAAACCAAGAACCAGGATATCAAAAGCTATGACGCGATCACAACCAGTTTAAATGCTGAAACACAAGACGCAAGACTCCATCTCAATTCTAGTCATATTTTTGACAAAACCACCTGCAAATCCAATGCCGGAGAGGGATTGTGAGTCTACCCTCGGGATCAAGGTAACTGTTCAGACCATGGAATGCCAGTTCCTCCCCAGGCACCACGGCTGCCCACTGGAGACTGTCCTCAACCACATAGGCATGTGCATGGCTGTTGAAACTAGAGGCAGTCATGAGCTTTCCACACAAATACCAGCTGCCCAATATGCCGTATATGTGGTTTACTTGAAGAACACTGGAATCTCCTCAGTGTGCGCCATCCCAATCACCAGACAATCACCAATCTTGTATGACACGCTGTCTACAGTGATGCACTTCGTTTTGCTGACATGGTCTGGATTCAGATCCTCCCCAAAAAGTGCATCTTGGGTGTTTGCTTGTTTGGGAAGACTTCTTGAAAAAGAGCATGCAATTCCATGATTTTCTCTTCCAGGTATGGTACCCAAGACCTTTTGATGGTAGGTGCCATGAATATGTCCCCAATTTCTCTCAGTAACAGGTACACTTCCAATGCATCACAGCTAACTATTTAGGACCCAATCATTTGGGAAAGCAATCTAAAGATGGTGAATTTCTCAGATGCACTCCCAGCCAGATGCCCATTCTTCCTCAGGACATGCTCAGATAGTGGTGGTGGTCTGGATGATCTGTTACATTTTACATTTACGTCATTTAGCAGACGCTCTTATCCAGAGCGACTTACATATATATATATATTTTTTTAATACTGGCCCCCTGTGGGAATTGAACCCACAACCCTGGCGTTGCAAACGCCATGCTCTATCAACTGAGCTACATCCCTGCCGGCCATTCCCTCCCCTACCCTGGACGACGCTGGGCCAATTGTGCGCCGCCCATGAGTCTCCCGGTCGCGACAGAGCCTGGATTCGAACCAGGATCTCTAGTGACACAGTTAGCACTGCGATGCAGTGCCTTAGACCACTGCGCCACTCAGGAGACCTGATCTGTTGTAGTTGCCATAGGGGAAGTTATCAATCTCGTAATTTAACTGGGCCACAGTGATTTGTTTTGTCTTCACAAGCTCCTGTAACACCAACCTCAGTACAGCAGGTATGATGCCCTCAAGGAAGTCATGCATCACGTCAGGGGGAAATAAATACATAATGGGTGAAGGTGCATATGTCATCTCAGAGAAGCAGCATAGACTTCTGACATTTTCTGAGTTTTCTTGGACTGCCTGCAGGTGGTAGCTGTAAATTATTGAGTCACGCATGGTGAACTCCCCCTCTGTAAACATCAAACAGATCTCGTCCTTGGTTGCTGTGCAAAAGTGACAGATCCTTCCTGAACTGAAGTTTTTTGATAAACCAGCAACATCATGGGAAGAGAGGTTGTCGGCGGAGATTGTGGCAATGGTGGCACGAAAGACCTTGCTTTCTCCGTTGTACTCCAAAGAAACACATTGTGTCTCCAGCAGTCTGATATCATCAAGCAGAGGCTGGAAGACTTCATCATAACTTGTTACTCCTTTCTGAATTAGCTTGTGTTGTATCAGGGAGGAGAGGTAAATGTTTTGCAGCTGAGATGTGTGTTTCTTGTCAAGATTGCCAATTTTGAAATACACAGCTGAAAGCTTTTGTTTTCCTTTTATTGATAAATAATAATAATATTCCATTTAGCAGACGCTTTTATCCAAAGCGACTTACAGTCATGTGCGCATACATTTTTACGTATGGGTGGTCCCGGGGATCGAACCCACTACCCTGGCGTTACAAACACCATGCTCTACCAATTGAGCTACAGAGGAAGTGCATCGTTTGTTTTTGCGTGAGCAAGTGATTGCTCTTGAAAAAATCCCCATCTGTGAAATCACTCAAGATTTCCTCTTTGGCAGGTTCTTCTTCTCTGTTTAAGCTCGCCCAAACATCTTCATTTTGTGCCACCTTCTTCAAAAGGTCAGGTAGTGGGATGTACTGAAAACTGCCTCTGTCCTGTTCTTCACCACGCAGATGTATCTCTCTCGGTCTAACCATTCCCATTTCTTCACAACAGTATTGCTCCAGCATCCACTCTGTGTTGATGCTTTTCATGCACTCTTCAAAAACCTTTGTCTGGTTTAAAAGCTCACACAAGTCATTGTTCTCATCTACATTGATGTGAATGTTTCGAAGATGGAATTTCAAGGCATCACTGTAGTGGAACATAAATGCTTCTCTCTGATCTTCAACATAAAAAGGCAGAGATTTCTCTTAAGGCCTCTAACCAGGTCTTCAGTTTTGAAGTCCACAGACTCAATAACATTAGTTGCAGGTGCCCACGTGAGATCAGAGTCATTGTCGTTTACATTTTCCTCAATGTAGTCAAGCACAGGGATTACAGAACCATTAGGCCTATCTGTCAGCAAATCTTTGTGTTTTCTGTATATATGTGTCCTATATGACGCAAAGCATTGACATGTTTTCATGCAATCCATGTCCACATGTTAACAGGAACCCTGGCCAGGACAACAACCTCTCCCTCAACGTGACCAAGACAAAGGAGATGATTGTGGACTACAGGAAAAAAAAGAGGACTGAGCACGCCCCCATTCTCATCGACGGGGCTGTAGTGGAACAGGTTGAGAGCTTCAAGTTCCTTGGTGTCCACATCACCAACGAACTATCATGGTCCAAACACACCAAGACAGTCGTGAAGAGGGCACGACAAAGCCTATTCCCCCTCAGGAGACTGAAAAGATTTGGCATGGGTCCTCAGATCCTCAAAAAATTCTACAGCTGCACCATCGAGAGCATCCTGACTGGTTGCATCACCGCCTGGTATGGCAACTGCTTGGCCTCCGACCGCAAGGCACTACACAGGGTAGTGCGT